GGGAGGAGAAGAGAAGCACCCGGGGGTGGAAAACAGGGCCGAGAGAGAAACCCGGCCTCAAACAGTGCTGGAGCCAGGCCCCAGGCCAGGAATATTCCTGGTGCCCAGGCACCACGGACCCATAGAACTTGCCACCTATGCCCACATCCTGTGTAGTGAAGACCGATGCAAAGAATTCACTTAGCTTCTGTGCATGCTCCTTTAACACCTGAGTTTAGTGGCACCTGTTCAGCAGACTTCCTGTTTCTGATGTAAATATCTTACTGTTAGTTTTTGTCTCTTTAACAAGTTCTTTCCTGGCCTGCCTTATTATACTTACACACTTAACCTGCCAGAGTTTGTGCACCTTCTTATTATCCTCACTAGGATTTGACTTCCAACTTTTGAAGGATGCCATTAAATATGAAATCAAAATTAGCTTTATTTTAAGCACGGAATTCCTGCCATCATTCATTATATATAGGTACTTATTTTATAGCTTTCTTGCATTTTCCATCCTGCATTGGTATCTGGCCCAGTTAATGTTATTGTATCTCTGCTATCTGTACAGTTAATGTTTCAGTAGAACTTTGCTTGCAACAAGGCTGCTTTTAAAAGTTTACTTTGTTCACTTTCTATTTAAAACTATAAAAGTACATAGATACTTTCCAGGGTGGGGGAAAAAAAGAGAAAGAATGAGACTTAGTGGCAGAACCTCTGAGTATGAACCTGAGAGCAGCACAGGTACTAACATGGAACAAGGATGCTTTTCAAAATAAAACTGTATGAAAACTAAACTCCCTGCAGCACCAGCTCAGTTTCAAAACAGTTTCCTGTGAGGTCCAGAACAACATCACTGTAAGAAACTGATCTCAGAGTTTAAAAAAAATGAGTAGGGAGACATTCAAAGACAACTTTCCCTCTAAATCCATGTCATAGTACATCAATTTAAAAGGCAATATAGCCCTTTCCCTGAAATACATTTTTATTCCAAGGACCCCTTTCTGAAAAAAAGGTCAATAGAATTTTTTCCCTGCCTAAAAATGCACAAAGTACTTTCTTTTATTTTTCACGCTACATGGCTTTTTATTATCTTGAGGTTTTGAAAAGGTCTGACTGTCCATTTTGTTCTAATACAATTTTTTCAGCATCTAGATACCGCACCAATTGGTGCTCAAAATATACACCTATGGTTTGGGCAAATCAAACCCCTACCACCTCACCTCACCGCTCCTCCAATTAAATTGTTTTAAAAGCAAGTTTACATTATTGTTTGTATTACAATACCACTGCTAGGTGCAGTGGTATTGTAATACAAACAATAATGTAAACTTGCTTTTTGCTAATGTAAACTTGCTAATATAAACAAACACATTTGCTACCACAAAAATTAAAATAAGTCAATTTGGATTTAATTTACATGACAACATTCCTCTCAAAATGGACTATTATGAAGCTAAATTAAAAACAATCAATTTTTTTGAGAGAAGACTGTCAAAGACACAGACAGGAATACCATGAACTGTCCTTTGGACTTCTGAAAATCCCTCCTTTAAACTGTATTTGGAATATTACTTTAGCAGGCCTATACTCCTTTAAGGGAGTTTAAGGCCCAGACAATTTAGCTATCTTTAATCCAGAAAAAAAAAAAAATATTTTGTTCAGAGAGCTAGCTGTAGTTATATAGTTCAGATTTCCAGAATCATCAGTAGCCGGTCTGTGTGAGAGAAAGAAACTGCCTTAAATTGTTGTGCTAATTAAAATTAAAATCGATGAGAGTCTGCAGACAATAAAAAAACTGATTAGAAGATAGAAAGCTTCCTGCAATTATACAACAGGTGAGAACTTACAAGCATATAGGACTTGGCAAAGAAATGATATATTTGCCAGTGTTTATCATATACATTATGAAGTCATGTTCTAATGGTCTGTCCTTGAGGCAAGAAGCCCAGATTGCTGCATTTAGCTAGAAAGCAAAACAAACAAGAGAAAAACTAAATGCACCTTTGCCAATATGCCGCCTGGTGTTCTCAATGGTGGAATTCCGATTAACGTTAGAGAGCAGCCCAAGGCAAAATCTGTTCTTGTTGTTTGAAGGATCAGTAAAACCATCTACCAACACGCTGGTGGAGGAGGCATGAAATGCCTCCCCAACACGATTGTTCAGCTCATAGTAGACAATAGAACACCAGTGTTTTGGCTCTTCATAAGCAACTGCCTGAACATCTGCAAAGAAACAAAGAAAAGGTTACAATCAATGGCACTGCAACTAATATGTGTCTGAACTTTAAAGTTCTGCAACCTGTAGACCTTGGCTTAAGATCACAGAGAAATTCTGGATAAATAACTGCTAATTAAGTGCAGTCTTCTATGGAGTTCATCTATCATTTAATTATTAAAAAAAAGAAAAGAAAAGAAAAAAAACCCATTTTTCAGAGCCAAAGAAAGAATTTGTACAAATACAGTTAAGATAAAATTACTTGCAAGACTTCAGACACAGGAAAAAAATATCAGAGCTGGCAACACGTACTTAAGTAAGAGAACATGTTGTGGGCTCAACAACCACACCTATCAAGCACTCCTGCGTTCTTTGCAACATATGACCTAGATCAGCACTACCCTGAGTGTTGACAAATCAGTGAAGTACTCCCTCAGTTTATTTTACAGAGCTACCAAATTTTAAAAATATTCTACATGTTACAAAATTCTGTATTAACAATGAGAAATCACATAGCAGAAATTGTCAGAGAACAGCCGGAGGTTTTCACAACTGCCTAGGAGACAGCTGGGATTCTGGCCACACAGACACGAGTGAGACATGGCTTGGGTTTTTGGTATCCAGGTGGCAGATTAATCTTTTGCATCTGGGAAGGCGATGCACCTCTTTTCCCCATTCACCTACTGGACAGGTGCAGAAATTACTTTAAAATTTGG